ACGTCCCGGCTCCACTGAGGGTCCCCCAGGTTCTGTTTCTGAGCAGCTCACTCGCGGGGGTCACTGTGGCCCCTCTGTTCCTCTTTCTCCCAGTGACCTGCTCTCCCCCATTTGGGGGGAGTAGTGCCCACCGGAGGGTCAGCATCAAGTCAGCGGAGGATGATTTGCTCTTGACCCACGACCCTGAGGGGACCGCCAGGTGGGCTGTGACGAGGGCGGAGGGAGAGGTGCAGATTTCGGGGGACTTGCCCCCAGGCAGGACACCGGGCACCTTGCTGGCCTCCCCACTCCCTGCCCAGCCTGGCGCCAGCGTCTATGCCAGGTGCCGAAGACGATGACAGGGTCATTGGCACGACCTTTCGGCTCCGAGCTGCCCGGGGGCAGGGGACGCCGGCCCGCAGGAGGGACCGTGAGCCTGCGGGGGGAAGCAGCGTGTGCCCGGCTCCGCTCTGCGCCCAGGGCGCCGCGCCCCGCCGCGTGCCGGGCGGGACGCTGGCCTGTGGTTTGTCCAAGTAGGTGGTCTCTCCGCCAGAACTTTAATGGGAATAGTTGTAGAACCACACGCAGTTGTGGGACCGGGAGAGGGACAGGCCCTGCACCCTTGGTGGGTCCCGGGTGCTGGCGGTTGCAGAACTCCGGTCTCCGAGGGGTGTCCGCAGGGTGCAGTGTCTCCGCCTCCGACCTGGGCTCTCACCTGCGCCCTCACCTGCACCGCTGCATGGAGCTGCGTTTCCCTGAAAGTCTGCGCCCACCTCCACGGGGTCGCAGAGCCGCCCGGCCCTGAGACGCCTCCGGGTCGGGTCCTCCTGTGACCTGCTGCCCCGCCCCCGCTCCCCACCCCCAACTGCCCCTCTCTGTGGCCCTGACGTGGCCACCCATACAAAGCGGGAGTTCCTCTCCTCAGGGAAGCCCCCCCCCCCGTCCGCAGCCCCCGCTGCTCCCAGGAGCCCCCTCCTGAACGTGGGGGGCTGTGTGTGGCCCCACCAGCCGTGCGCCAGCCCCTCTCTGTGCAGTGCGTGGAAGGGTGGACCCGCAGGGGCCTGGCCGGCGGCTCTCTGGGCCAGGCAGGGAGGACGGGGGCTTGGGGCCCCGGGGGCCAGCGTCTGCCGACCGCTGGCGGAACTCCTGTGTGTGTGCACACCCTCCGGGCTGGGCTGGGCAGGCGACAGCCGGGGCAGGTTCCTCCTCCGGCCAAGCAGGGTGTCCTGGGAGGGGTGCGTGGGGGGAGAAGCGTGTGCGGTGCTGGGGGAGGGTGAGCCGGCCTCGCGGGCGGGGAGTGTGGGCAGGGGACTTGGGCAGTGTCCCTCCTCTGGGCCTGTCGGCAGTGTCCACGGGGGTGTCCTGGGGCAGCGCTGGGTTGCTCCTGTGGGGTCCGTTGGCCAGTTGGGGGCCCAGCCCGGGCAGCCGGACAGCGCCCTGCTGTCTCCCGCTCGGGGTGGGGGGGAGGGCGAGGCGGCCCCGGCGGCCCCTTGGCTCCCGAGCCCCACGGACGGGCTTTCCCTCTGCCCTCTCTGGGGTCTCCAGGCAGAGGTCTGCGTGTGTGCAGGGGGGGGCACATGGGCGTGTTTTCAGAGCCCTTACACGCCCCCTTACACACTCCTCTCGGGCACACTTCCACACAGGCCACACCCACACTCACGCCCACGCTCCCAGGCCCCACCCGGGCGAGGCCAGCAAGTCCAGCGGCTCTCCTGAAACCCGGCCACACGGCCAAGGGGGCCACACACACGCGGGCGAACTTGCGGAAGTTCCCTGCCAGGGCCCGGCCCCCGAGCCAGGCTTTGCTCAGCCCAGCGCCCCGTGAGCCCCCCGCCAGGAGCCGGCGGTCATCGTGCCGATTATAACCACCTCCCGGGAGGGTCCTGGCTACTCGGCCTTGTAGGGACAGAGCACAAGGGACCCTCTCTCTGTGCCAGGTCGCAGAGCCCAGCTGTCCCAACTTGGGGTCTCCTCTCTCTCTGCAGAGCCCGGTGTTCCGGTGGGGCTCTCAGGGAGACAGTGGGGCAGCTTCTGTTCAGGGATGATTCACATCCGAGGGGGGGCCAGAACCCCTGCCCCCCGAGGCTGGAGAAGACCCCGCCCTGGACTAAGGGCGGGGGGACACCGAGGCTCCCAGCGGCACAGCCCCAGACGGGGGGACAGCTGGCTTCTCGGCCTCTCTGACCAGACGCCCGGGGCCCACGTGCCGAGTCCTGTGTGACCAGCCTCCAGACCAGGCCTGGCACTTTGTCGCCCAAGAACACGGCAGTCTGCCCGGGACCGGCGCCTGCTGGGGGCCCTGTGGCCCGATCTCGGTGGCCCTGGCTCAGGACCGCTCGAGGGCTTGCTGGGGTCCAGGCCCCTTCCCCTCCGCCTGTCCCCGCCTGCCTCCCCCCCACCCCCCCGCTTTTACCGCCTTGGTAGGCCTCCCAGAAGAACTTTTAGGAATGACGGGCCCCGTCAGGAGCCCCTCCCCTGAAACCACCGCAAAACCCCAATAAAGGGCCCGCGGCCTCCTGGCCGGGAAGCAGCACACCCGCGCCGGTCTCCAAAGTCGTAAAAAGCTCATGTTCTTGGCTGCGCACCCCGACCTTCGAGGGAGAGCCACTGGAAACGCCCCAGCCAGCAGTCACGGGGCCTCGGCGGCCGGAGCCGGAGCCGGGAGCCGGGAGGCAGGGGCAGACGCCCGTCCGGTCCGGGCAGAGGGGCTCCTGCCTGGGCTGAGCCCTCCCAGACCCCCTGGCCGGAGCACAGGGCAGGGGCAGGTCGGTCTCTCCCTCCGGCCCCTCTGGGTCCTCGGGGCTCCGGCGTCTCCGAGAAGCTTTCCACTTTCTCCAGGGACTTGGGGCCGCCGGGACACCCCACTGTCCCCCAACGCCTCTGCGCGGTCCTCAGGCCTGCCGCCCCCCAGCTCCAAGAGAGGGGCGCGGGGCGGGGCGGCAGGAGGGAGCCTCGGGGCTTCCTGGCGCTGGGGGCGGAGGCCGGGGCGCAGGCTCCTTAATCAGCAGGAAACACCGCCGCGCGCCCGCGCCGTTTGCTCAGCCAGGAAACTGGACGCGGCTTAGAGTGTGGTTTGTCCTCCGGCAGGTGAATGTTTCGGGAAGTGGAATTCAAACAGAACGTTTTAAAAAACACCCCCCTGCCCCCGCCAAACGACAGAGCCTGGAGAGGCACCCGCGGCCGGGACTCCAGTGCCGGCTCTGTTGGCCGTCCCCGGCTCCCGGGAACGAGGTGGCGCCTGGACCACCGCCTTGTAACTTAGCTCTGTGCCCCCCGACCCCCGGGTGTGGGGGAGGGGTATGGGAGCACTGGCGAACCTCCCACTGCGGGTCATGGGCACTGCGCGGCGGCCTCGGGGGCGTTTCTGGAAGGACCCCACAGGTCCCTGGGAAGCACCCAGCCGCCGGCCACTTCCGACATGACGATCACCCCTGGGGCGCTGCTGAATTAGATTCGTGGTATCCCGTGAGGGTTTTCCCCCCTAAGACTTCGGTTTCTTCTCAACCAGATCTGTTCGCAAGCAGCACGAGGGACCCAAGGTCATGTTCCTTGTACCCAAAGGTCCCGTCTCCGTGGGCACCCCGGCTTCACCGGCCCCCGTCGGTCGGGGGGCAGGGAGAGGCCGAGGGCCACAGTGACTGCGGCGGCCTGTCACTCCCGCAGGTTTTTGAAAGGGGGGCTCAGGTGGAAGCCTCGTGTCAGAGGTCAGCGGCACGAGGGGCCGGGCGGACCTCCTGCTGCCCCACCCCCCGACTGCTAACATTCTGTCGTGGTGACGTGCCAGTGGTGTTAAACGTCAGCCATTCTGGAGAGAAGGGCTCAGGGACACCCAGTGGATCGTGATGCTGCGCCCCCACCGCCTCCGTCCGGCTCCAGAACGTTCCTTCCCCAGAGGAGCCCCCCCAGCCTGTGCCTCGGTTCCCCCCATGCCCCCCAACGACATGCATTCCTTAGTCTCCGTGGACTCGCCTGCTCTGGCCTTTCCTTAGACACAGAACCACACGCCGTGTAGCCTTTGGTTTCTGGTTCTCCCACTTGGCGTGATGTCCGAGTGGCAGTGGGGTGACAGTGGGTCCTGTTCATGGCTGCGTAATACTCCACCACGCGGGGGACCACGCTCGTGCCTCCCTCACCCGTGGGCGGGCACCTGCGTGTCTCTGCCTCCGGGCGACTGCGGGTACCGTGCTGCCCGGTTCACCTGCCTTTTCACTCCTCCGGGTCGGCACCTGGAGTGAGCCCCGTCCCCGCCGTGTGACCTGCCCCTTGCTCTGGCTGTCTCTCCTCCGCCCGCTCTTTGTCACCCCCTCGGGGCTGGTGTCTGTCCAGGTGGCACTCTCGGGCCACCACCACATGTCTTTCAGGAAATGCCCCGAAGAGAGGCGGCCCAGACGGACAAGCCGGGGACCCTTCCGCCCGTCCACTGTGTCCTGTGACCGGCAGCCCCGGGAGGCCCACGCTCATGGCCTCCGCGGGCCTCTGTCCCGACTGGCCATCGGGGACTTCCAGGGTCCTGCCGGGCCCGCCCCCTGCCCAGGGTGTCCCAGGTGCCGGGACACCTTCCACAGGAGCCCAGACTCTGGGTCCCCCTGAGAACCTGGGGTGTGACTCTGTCCCTTCGTCCCCAGGGCTGCAGACATGGACTGGACGGTCCTGGGAAGTGGGTTTCGCCACCCGCCCAGGGTCGGGTGCTGGGGCGGCGACCTCCCTCACCGTCCCCGGTCTCGTGGCACGCGGGCAGCGCCTGCCCCCACGCTCCTGAAGCAGGGCGGGCTGTCGGGTTCCCAGCCCCGCTCGGGGCCGCGGGGAGGTGCAGGGGACGGTCCCCGGAGGGGCTGGTGGTGCCGCCGACCCGGGCCCCTCCCCTCCCACGCGGGTGAGGGCCACTCGGCCGCCGAGGAGCAGAGGCACGCTAGGGGGCCGGGGCTGCCGGGCCCCCATCCTGGCCCCGTCCCCGTGGTCCCTGAACCTGGCTCGCAGGGGAGGCTGTGCCGCCCGGCCTGACGCTGCCCTCTCTCCCCCAGGTGACGGCGACGCGGTCAGTAGCATGTACGAGCCGGACCCGGACCTGCTGGCGGGCGAGAGCGCGGAGGACGAGACCGAAGACAGCGTCATGTCGCCCATCCCCATGGGGCCGCCCTCCCCCTTGCCCACCAGCGAGGACTTCACCCCCAAGGAGGGCTCGCCCTACGAGGCGCCTGTCTACATCCCCGAGGACGTCCCCGTGCCGCCCGGCTTCGAGCTCCGCGAGTCCTCCGTCCCGGGGGCCGGCCTGGGCATCTGGGCCAAGAAGAGGATGGAGGTCGGGGAGCGCTTCGGGCCCTACATGGGGGCGCCGCGGGCCACGCTGAAGGAGGCCGACTTCGGATGGGAGGTGAGCCTGCCCCGGCCGCGTGACGGATCGCGGCCATTTGTCTCGGGCGCCGTCTGTTTATGAAGCCGCCGAGCCGCCGCCGCCCCCACCCCGCCCCCACCCCGGGCGGGAGGCGCGGCCAAGAGAGAGCGTTCGGCTGCCGTTTCCCAGGCTCTCGTTGGGTCCCGCCGTTCGCAGGACGCGACCCCGAAAGCACCGCCGGTCCGGTCCGCGCGGGTGCCTGCCGGCCCCGGGGGCCGTGCCCGCTCTCTTCCCGGAAATGTGTCTGCAGTGAGCTCATGTCTTGGAGTGGCTGCGCCCCGTCTGGGCCTCGGGGGCTCAGGCAGCGGGGCTGGGGGACGGGGGGACTGTCCTAGAGCAGGGTCCCTGCGCGGGGGAACCTGCCGCCCACGGGGGTCTCGAGGTCCCTGAGCAGCCCGTAGACAACGCCCGGTGGCTGCGCTGGCCCCAGGCGCCAAGGGCCCCCCACCCACGGCTCCCTGCCCCCCAGCTCCCTGGCGGGAGCCCCCACGTCTCACATGAGCGGGGAGCAGTCCCACCCTGCCAGAGGGGGCGTCGGCGAGTGTGTTGTCCCTGACAACCTCGGCGGCTCTGCGTGCGGCGGGAGAGTGGGGGCGCAGGAGGGGAAGGGCGCCGATGTCCCTGAAGGCGTCCCTCCCCTGGAGCTGTCACCACGGACGCTGGCCCCAATGTGGGGGCGCTCTAAGCTGGTCTCCTGGGTCCTGGTCTTTCCACCGGCCCCCCACAGCCAGTCTCGGGTGCTTGCTTTGGCTGGGGTGCTGGCAGTGCACACGCAGGTGCGCCCCCAAATTCCGTCTGGGATGGAAGCTGAGGCTCCGGGAAGAGCCTGGGCCAGGGCAGCGCGGGCTGGGGCACCGGCTCCCACAGTGTGGCTTCGGCTCCGGGAAGGTCCCCTGACCCTGTTCACCCTCCAGGCTTCATGGTTTCTACACCTCGGGGGGCACGCCTGAGCCTGTCCCTGGAGACACGTGTGCCCTCTCCCCAGCTGGAGGTGAGGCTCCTGGACCCCCGCCACCCCAGGGCACCCCTCCTGGGCCTGGCAACAGCAAGGCACTCCCTCGGGGTCTCCCAGAGGCTGGGAGTGCTGGTGCTTGTGGGGGGGCCCTGCCCACAGCCCGACAGGCCTCCCTCCGTCACCAGAGATAGGGCCAGGGTACCCCCAACGCTGGGGGCCTCCGCCTCCCAGCAGGCAGGTGGGGGTGGTCCTGGTGGCGCGAGGGGTGTGCAGGTGGGGAACACGGAAGCTCCCCGTCTGAGTGCCAGCTCCGTAGAAGAAGGTGTAGCTGGGAGGGGAGGTGCGCTTCCCGCCAGTGTGACCGAGGCTCTGGCTGCGAGGGTTTGTGACCGGCGTGTCGCCCTGGCTGCGAGGGTGCATTTTGGAGACCCGGCCTGGCCTGTCTCGCCCACCTGGCTGTTTGGGGGAGCGACTGACGGGTGTCTGTGTGACCCGCTCGGAGAGGGCCGGGCCGTGCCAGGGGCAGGTGGCTTTCAGATGCTGGCGCGAAAGCGAGCCTCGCCGGTCATGCGTCGGGCGACCTTGAGGCGACCTTGCTTCTGTCTGCCCTGATCCGGGTCCCTGTTTGCTCTTTCTCTAAAGAAATGGCCCGTATCGCGGCCGCCTGCCTGGTACCGGCCGTGGCCGTTATCTGTTGACTTTGCGATATTATTTATTTGAGGCGGACGTGAGGGAACCCACTCCCCCACTCTGCCCCCCCCCCCGCCGCGGCCGTGGGCTTTGTCCCGGGTCGCGACCCGGCCCCCGCCTCTCATGCCGGCGCTGGGGGTGCGCGCTCACCCTCCGGCCGCCCTCCCGCAGCACTGGGGGCGCACGGCCCCACCCCGCAGACCTCGTGCCCCTGGGGAGCGCCGGCGTGGGTGCCCCTCGGCCCGGCTCGGGGTGCCGTGGCCTCCGGCAGGCGGGCCAGGAGGGCGGGCGTTTGCCCGCAGAGCCCACAGCAGGCCTGGACGGGAGCCCCCTCCGCGCCGGGGATGCAGGGAGCGCCCTGAGCCGAGGGCGAACCCACTTTCGCTTGAGGTCCGTCCGCCGTGCAGAGGTTTCTTCCCAGCGCCGCGGGCGTCCGTCTGGGCCTTCGGGGCAGAAAGCCGCCGCCTTCCCTCCCGCGCAGGCTTGTGGGCTCCCCCCGCGCCCCTGACGCAGACCCTTGCCGGCTCCCTTCACTCTCGGGCCTCCGTGCGCGGGACGGCGGCTCGGGGGAGCGGCTCCCGGGGCCCCTTCCCGTGAGGGGTCGACTGAGGGCCGCGCCTGCCGCCCGGCCCCAGATCGGAGCGGAAAACCTGGGACCTTCCTCCGAAGCCCCGAGTCACTGACACGGGTGCGGTGGCCTGGCCCTGCGCCCCATCCCGTGTGCGCCCCTGCAAGGACGCGCCCCGGGCCCGGGGTGACGCGGTGACGCAGTGACACAGTGACGCGGTGAGGGCGAGAACGAGGCAGCCCCTGGTGCGTCAGCGTGGGGTGAGCAGGGGAGGCGGGGGCGGCAGGCCCGGACCTCAGGGCAGGTCCCAGGGACAACGCACGCCTGGGCCATCTTACCGCGGCCCTGGGTTTGGCGTGTGTGGTCGCTGGGCCTCACGTGGGAACCGTGTTGCAAACCGGGGCGGTTCGATTTTCTCGTCTCCGAGTGCCGTCCATTTACCGAGAGAGGAGAGGAGGGGCCGTTTCGGCAAAGCTGGCAGAAGAAATCCGAGGGGGTCCGGTGTCACTGTGGACGCCCCGGGGGTGGCTGGGAGCGGACCTGTTCTCGGTCTGAGCTCGGAGTGGGGTCCCTGTCGCCTGGGCTGGGAGTCAGGCACGCAGGGGGGTCCCCCACCCATACCGGAAGGTGTCCCCAGGTCCAGATTAAGATCAAGGTCAAGTAGATCATTCTCACTGACACCATGGAAACAATTTTCTTTCCACTCCGAGAACAAGATTGTTTTTCTGGACATTCCACGGAAATCAAACAGGACGGCCACCGTCCCCCTCCGTCTCCGTGTGGCTGACACACTGTCCGGTCACCGCGTGGTTTCGGGGCCGCTCGCCCCTCTGGCAAAGAGCACTTCTCCCCCCGCTGGCCGGGACACCATGGCCTGTGCCCTTCAGGTTCAAGGTCAGGGGGCCCCTCGTCTCACACAGGAGTTCTCCTTCAGCACGAGGGGACCGGGAGGGGTGGCTGAGGCTCCCCCCGGCATTATTATCAGGAGCGCCCCGTGACTCTGAACCCCCTTTCTCCTGGGTGCTTGGGGGCTCCCCGGAATTTGGAGGGAAACACACCCCAGGTGCTGAGGTGTGTCCTTCTTGCACCCCAACCTTGCCAGCCGCATCCGTGGGGACAGGCAGGAGTTGGGGTGAGCGGGGTCGCCCCTGAGCCCCATCTCGAAGGGAGGGGCTCTGTCCCCCCGCCTGGGGGGACGCCCGCACGCTGGCCCCACCCCCCAGAGGGGGCCTGCCTGCCGACGCGGATGCCACTCACACCGCCTGGAATAACTCACCGTGAGATTGCGTTCCGTGGCCCTGGGGTCTGGAGAAACAATGATTTTGATCATTTGTTGAGTAAATCATGACATTTATCATCATGCTGTTTATTGGGCTAATTAAGGGTTGTCTGGAGTGTCAGCCCGGAGGGAGCGGGCTGGGGAAGCAGGCTCCTCGGGTGGGCCACCTGCCCGGGGCTGGCCCTGCAGCTGGGACCAGGCCCTCCCCCACCCACAGCCTGTGACCCGTGCCTCGGCCCCGGCTGGTGGAGCCGGTGGGAGGGTTTCGATCGTCCGGATGAGTCACTCGGGGCATTACCTCGTCCCCTGGCCTCCGGTCCTGAGTGCTTGTGTTCAGGTCACTTGTTCAGTCAACAAACAGGCTGTGTCTGGGCTGGGCCTGTGGGCAGCTCGGGGTCACCGGGCAAAGAGCCCCAAGGCTCTTGATTCCCAGCACTCTGGCCATGTGGCCCCCATGGTGAATCCCCCGAGGTCCTGGAGCCCAAGGGAGGTGTGGGGAGGGCCAGCCAGGACCACCCTGAGCGCCCTGGACGGTGGGCTGCCGGCACGCACAGAGGCGCCAGGGTGGGGTTGCATGGGAGAAGGCGCCGCCCTGGGCTCCCAGATCCTGGGACGGTGGCTCTGAGACAGGCGCTTCCCAGGACGCAGGGCCCCCGGGCGAGGCCTGGGCTTCCTGGGAAGGGAGCTCTGGGTGCTCACCCGCCTGCACCCGTGTTTAGGAAAGCAGTGCGCTTTTTTCCCTGGCCGGGGCCGGGCCTCTTTAAATGGCAAGAAGTTTGGGGGCCTATTTTGGGCCCTGGGTGGCGGGATGAGTGACGAGGCCCGGGGACGTCTGCTCCCCGGGGGCACCAGGGCGCCACCTGCAGCGGGCGGGCGTCCGGCCTCCGGCCTCCCGGACGGAACCTGTCGGGGGCTTTCAAAGGCGCCGTGGCGCACGCGGGAAGGCGTGGCACCACGCCCGGCGTCTGCGGGGACCCGGACAGCATTCCGGGTCCCGGGGGCTGACAGTCACACCGTGGGGGGAGGGGGCGGGTCCCCTCCGAGTTTCTGGGCATGGTGGGGGTCACAGGGGCCCAGGACTGAGGTCTGAGGCCTCCCCCACAGCCTCAGCTTCGGGGTCTCCGTGGGGAGCAGCCTCTGCCTCCCTCCCCTGCACTCTCCGCCTCATCCCCAGCACCCTCCTCTGCCCCCCGGTTCAAAAAGGAAAACTCGGAGGTTGGCACCGAGGGTCAGGGCTGTTCCTCAGGCTCCTCCTGGGAGCCCGAGGCCTGGGGGCCGAGGTCCAGGTCCGGGGGTCTTACCCGAGCTGCGCGTGTGGGAATCCCCCGGAGCGTTACAATTACAGGAGCCCAGCTCCTGCCCCAGGGACACGGGCTTTAGCCAGAGAGGGGGGCCGGCCCACCCTGTTTGTCCAGGGCTGTCCTGGTTTGGAACCAAAAGTCCAAACAAGCCCCCCCGGCCCGGCATCGGGTCTGTGGAAGCGCCCA